AAAGCAGCTTGAACCCTGCAACCTCTATATATCACAAACAGAGTCAGGAAATTAGCTCTGCAGCAGCAGGACATTAGTCATTTCGTAAGAGAGTGAGCTAAAAGAGTTCGATAAACAAGAACGCCTCAGTCAGAAAATGAGACAGCGACCCGAAGAATATGAGCTTCTGAAAACCCGTTCGTCATTTGGGCCTCCTGTTATAAGCCGTAGCAACACAGGCAGAGTGATGTCTCCAGGCGCTCTTTGTCATTTACTGTATCTGGCAGCGTAACCGGTGATGAGTAAAGGTGCAACAGGAGCACACACACCCACGGACGCCCACACGCTGCTGACCTACTACCGTTTTCACCTTGACGAGGCAACTTCTGACATTTGTTGATCTCAAACCTGACTCATGGGAACGCACGCGCTGCAATCCAGAAGGGGTCTGAATGGCTTACAGTCATTTGAGGAAATGATTCTCACATCACACAGGCACATTTGTTGATGCTTAGCTGAGATCCAATATGATGAGAAAATAGATGTAATTGTTTTGATAAATGTTATTTCTATAATATATATCTATATCTATATAATATATTTCTATAGCTATTATATAGATATATATATAATATGATGATTAAATTTCACCAAAGTCCATGTAGGTGTGACAGCTCGACCCCGTGTCTACTTGACATTACTGACTCATGAATTTCTAAAATGAAAAGGCTTTTTAAGGACACCATCATGGTTTCGTGTTCTGACGAATCAAAACCGGCTTGATTCAAACCAGTACTAAACTTACACATACTGACACTGGGAGATAAACACATTTACGACACACACATATTGTTGTGACCGGAGCTGAAGGAGGAGGACGGGTCACACTTAGGTATGGTTCAATTCTCAGTGTTTGGGGCAATTAGAGAAATTCAAAGTGTTGCAACTCTGATGTGTCATATACACTACCTGTATACGCCACTGCAACAAAACGATTTGTGCAGCGCAATTGTCGAAGCAAAGACCTAATTCCGCACTTTGCTACACTATGCAGACTTTCTGTCTGCGCTGATGAAAACTTGCTCGTTTTCCGTTAAATAACTGTCATTCATTTGCAAGTCTGGCTGACTCAGCCTAAAAAAGGGACTCAAATGTTTATTTGTGGTGGTTGAAATTTAAAACATTTGAAAATGTTGTGTGTTCTGCTAACAGCAAAATAATTCCTCGGTTTCACTTCACGTCTTGGTACTTTTTACTTCATGTCAAAGTACTGATCCTCTGCATTAGATCAAACAATAAAGTGTTAAATTAAACCTTGGTGGGATTGTACCATGATTGCCACAGGTTGTGTGAGGAAAATAACCCAAACTGGGTAATTCTGAACCCAACATATTTTAGGGTGTGAGTCCCTGCCTCGATGCAGGAATCTGTAAGGTTTTACCGTCCAACCAAGAGATCTCCTAGACGTGTCAATAATTAGACACCTTAAGATATTTAGGTTTGATCATAAAGTTGATATGACAACATTAACTTCCAATCCTGTTTGATTGTGATTTTGCAGTAAAACAATCACCCTTGGTGTCTCCACAATGAAAGGTGACAGATAAATCAAGTAACTTTTTTTTTTTTCTTGTATTGCATGGGGGTGGGAGAGCATTTCTCTGCCCGGCAACAGAGAGAGCTGAGTCATCTCTGTCACAGCCCTCCCACGCCTCGCCACGCTGCACTACTCTCAGTATCTCTCGGTGTGGAGATGCACAGCTATGGACTTGATACCAAAACTAACATCATCACTTCATCCAGGCCCACAGATGACAAAAACATGCAGTTACCGTAAAGGCTGGTGGGAGGAGGGGGGCCTTGGTGGAACAAGGCTGGCATGGGTGGGTGTGGGTGTGTTTTGTAGCAGTAGTTTGTGCGTGTGTGTGTGTGTCTAAGCCTTTCAAAGATAATTTACAGAAACTGAAAATGAACACTTTCTGTAAATGGATGATCCATTACGAAGGGAGTGTCAGAAGGAATAAAGAGAAAGCGATTAGATATGTTTTTTCTTTGTATTCTTTTGACCAATCTGCAAGCAGAAATATTTTAGACAAATGTGATCTAAAATGCCTTCAAGGCTTCGTTGATGCGCTGTTGTCGTAATGCATTTGTAGAAAGGAACTTGCAGCAATAAAGGAAATATTCAATAATAACAAAAATCAAAATTACATACCCGTAATTTGAAATATTAGGGTTATTTAAAATACCCCTAACATTCTGCAGCCCATTACCCCCACTTTTACCCCCCTTACACTGAGCCAAATTTTGCTGCTCGTCTATTTCAAATTTCTCCGTCATATTGACGTCTGTGCAGTTTGTTTAGCTTGCTCAGCAATTTGCCTTGTAAAGTGTTAAGTGGCGGTTTTGGTTACTTCACTGTGATCTAGGTTTCGATATTTATAGCCCAGCTCAAAACTTGAATAAATAAATTCCTATATTTTTGTAACTATGTTATGCAGCTGTGTTACTTAAAAAATTTCAATCCTGATTATTATTTTTATTTTTTATTTTTTTAAAGGTTCCATACACAGATAACATTTCTAAGAAACTGAAAGGTCAAATAATTGTTTCTCTGTTTAAAGAAACCAAACTGTTTTCCTTTTTTCAGCTTGTGCTCTTTCCAGAAGAAAGATCGTAAATCTCTCAGAGTTTTAATGGAACCATTGTGATTTAAGGCTCTCAAATTATTTTAAATGGAGAATAAATACATATAATTTACCTGCACAATGCTTCTACAGACACTCCCATTAAAAAACTGAACTTATAATGTGCTTAAGACTTGGCAAAACAATAAATATTATAAAATATATAATGATATTAACATTTTGGACTTTCTTTGTGAAAAGCTTATTAAATTAAATGCCTGTTGTCCAAAAGCTTTCCACGATATAACACCACAGACGGCACTGAATTTCCAGCAATTTACTTTCGAAACTGATCGATTTAGTTCTAAATTGATGCAGTCTTTAATGATCATCTTAGCGACCTGACTGGGAGTACCCTGCCTGTCCACTGGATGACCACAGGAGACAGGCACCAATACCCTGTGACTCAGCAAGGAAAATCAGGGAGAGACAGGATTTCATTAAAATCCAATTATTACGCTGTACACAATAAAGCTGACATACAGTGTGCACTGAAGTGGCTGCATATGTCTAATCATAAACTTTGAATCAACAACATGTAGCCTCATTTGAAGCTAGCTGGCCAAGTAGTTTCTGACATTAGCTAAGCGAGCTAATGTTGCAGGAGGCGTCAATTTGTGAGCACTGAAATTTTTCTGAGGAACGATCTGGACTCAACATGAACGTGCTTTGGGGAAAAAAAAATCAAAAACGTTAATATGTGTACCGCGGTTCAGATTTAAAGCACTCTGACTGTTGTTGTTTTAGTTGTATTCAGTCTTGTACTTTAGAACAGAAAGACGGTAAACAAACACTGATCTAATCTTTGAGGAAAGACTGAACCATTGGTAAAATAACCAACCTGGGACCCCAAAATGGCTTGAAATCACTATAGGAACATACTTTACCAACTTTTCTAAGCTAACTTCTCGTTATTGCCACTTGCTGGATTAGAGAGTTAAACTGTATACCAGTCAAACATTAGAGATAGCGTTAGCATTACCTTTGACTGATAGACTGCTTCAGCTAGCCAACAGGAGCAAGAAGTGCTGCACAGCCTTCACTAAGGTAGCTAATACCAACATTGCGCCAAGCTTAAGAAGGCATGTAGTTTCACAATAGTACTTTAGTTTACCCAGAATGAAATGAAAAGACCACCAAGTAGCTGAAATCCTTACAGATCTTTGCAATTTTTGGTTGTGTCAGTCAGGCTTGTTAAGTGATTTGAATGACTACATAAACTATACAGCAGTTAAAGCTAATTGACACTCCAGATAAGCTCCAATAGGGCTGAGAGAGGGTCTGGCCAGATATTGTGATTTTGAATAAAGCAAAGACATACTATCCTTGACATACGTTCAAACATTCATACATTCTTTAATTTTCTTTTCCCCATCAGACAGAATCGCTGACGCAAATCCAGAGTTGTAACTTCCAGGAGCTGATGGGCCAAGATTTTCATACTGATCCATCACTGTGTGCCTGACACATTCTCCCAAAACTATATGAGAGCAAAGAATCTAAAGTCAACTTCAGGCAACTACTTCACCATCTGAACCTGGAGCTTGTGTATGTTTATTATCCTGGTACAGCTTACGGATAAGATGCGCGTCAATACACACTGTGAAACTCTCACCAGCACCACTAAAAGATTCATTTCTGTACATAAATTGCTCCCGAGTTGTACTTCTTTGATCATGTTCTTTTTTTCTTTTCTTCATTGTGAGGACAGCAGCTGCTATATCACCAAGACATCTAACACATACGCTTTCACTTCAGCCCTTCAAGGTGCGGACAGCCCATTACCATATGACTGAGCGACTAAATTTAGAGCAGCCGGTCACAGGACAAGTGGAAAACGGAGCCAGTGACCCTATACCACCAACATGCTAAAAACGATTCCTGTCCCCATCCGTGATAATCTGCAGTCCGAATTTACCTCACTCATGCTATTTTCAGTACTTTGCTACAAGATATTGAATCGTGCTTTTTATTTCACACCATGTTTGCTGAATGAAAATCAATGAGGGCTATCTATTTAAAGAGTGTTTTAAGACTGAAGAGAAACGAATAAGTCTCTAGTAGAGAGTTAAAATCATCAAAGATGAGAAAACGCTTTACATTTTCCGTCCAGATCTTTATTTCTTCCTGCTTTAAGATCTTACGCCGTCGCTCAAGTTATAAACTTCTGTGAAGCCTTTTCATTTGACCTCCTGAAGTAGGAAAACAGCAACAAAACGCTGGAGAGTGCAAACCAGTCATTAAAGTTAAGTTATGGGGCGGGGGGCTCTGCCCACCTCCATTGATTTTCAAACAGAAAACGACCGAAGTAAAGCTCAGCTCGCTTTCACTTACCAGTTTGTCTCCCTTCATCCTCCTCTTCATCAGAAAGTCGCCAGAGAACACTGAGAAGAGAGGAGAAAGGAGGGGAAAAGAAGAGAGAAGGAATGTTTTAATCACTCTGAAGGAAGCCAACCACCTTCCCACTCACATTTCTGAGTATTCACCTCACACAGACACACTGCACAGCTCAACGCACAAAATAAAGAGATGCCTCCAGCAGATCATGAATGACAGCAAGACGGGAAAAAGAGAAACACAGTCGGGGGTTTATAGAGTGAAAGAGTGACAGACAGTAAGACAGAAAATGTAGATCCAGAATAGAAAAGAGGAATGAATAGAATGTAAGAGAGCTGAGCATGATGAAAGGGGGAGGAGAAAAAGAGCGAGAGTGGGGAAAGAAAAACTGAAATGCATGGCTTGGCTGAGTCATCTGTAACCACCACTTCCTTCAGTCTCTTAGAGCGCTACTGATGACTGGCCAACTTCTAAAACAGGCACACGCACACACCAATCATCTCCTGCTTTCAGCTTCACACCACTCAACATCTTTTGTTTTCTAAAAAAAAGATCTCTTATGTGGCCCTACTTCTGCATATAACATCATGGGGAGCATTAGAACGGCATAATCCAACAGGAGGAACAAGGTTTTAATGTTACTGCTTGGAGGTTGTGTTTAATTATGTATTTAGGAGTTAAGATACTTAACTGCAATATACAGGACAGAGAAGTCCTTGAGATTATGGGATGATTATGTGGAAGCCTGGGAAAGCGAGTTATGGGCTGACCCCACTCCAAGCATCAAATCAAGACCATTTCCTTTCCCAGAATCCTCAAGGGGATCGTTTCTAAGTGAAGCATATTCAAAACCTCGCTTAATATGTTCTCAGATGCAGGGGAATCACAGAAAAATAAAAAAAAATGTAGCTTCTTTTCTGAAAAAGTATGTATTTATTCCATCTACCTGGCAGTTAAATGGCCCTATTTATTCCTGGACTAAACATTCAATAGCTTCTTCATTAGGTACATTTTGTAATACCCGGCTGGACCCCTGTTATATCTTCAGAACCTTATGCTTCCACTGCTGCTTGGAGATTTGCAACATTTTTGGACGTTGATTGGGAAAAATGTCCACCTTTAGACAGCACTGCCAGGACACCTGGAGTCAGACTCAGCCAGGCCACTGCATGGCGCTGTGATATTTGAATGTCACTGAGCTCTGTGCTTCCACCTCGCGAACTTTCACCTCATAGTAAACAGTAACTCATCTCCGTCTGCCATGAACAAAGTGCTCATGTAATGTATTCCTCATCAGAAACTGACAAACTGAACAGGTTAAGTAGCACAATGCTCGGCGTGTTTGTTTTTGTTGTTTTACTTCCGTGCGTCAAACCCATATGCGCTTTCACGCATCCACGCAGGGCTGTTTCGGAAAAGTTTCACTCGGAGACCTGGTTTCAAATGAAGCTGTTGTGAGACATTCTGGTCAACTGATGTAAACAAAAATGTCACAGTTTAACCGTGTCAATGGAGGCTTATTTTTTATGGCATCGATTCTGGAAGAGGTCCTCAGACATTTTGTTGTCTCTTGACATTTGCTCACAGCATCACTTCTCGTAAAAAATGTCCCCTGTTGGATTGAGATAACGTTTAAGTATAGTTAATTCACTCATGTAGTCATGTAGGGATGGACATGATCAGCAACAGGCTGGGGTGTTGGAGGAAAACAGCTTCAACACTTTGGCTGCGACTTATATCCAAGTGTGCTCAGTAGTTGGGGCATTACTGTTTCCTTTTACGTCACCAGTTTGTGCGTTTTTGTTACGTTTGAAGACGTTTTACAGACAAAGGAACATTCCTCTGAAAAGTGTCAGGTCTTGGGCTACCAATTATTTAAAAAGCAGCCGAGTTCAAGGATCAGCAAAAACAATTAAAAAGTCTGATACTATTGCAAGAGTCCAGTTTAAATTGGGACAAGACGCCGTGGCTCCTCGTAGGTCACTTTTGGTTGCAGTGCTGTGGAAACGAAAATTCCTTACATTGCTGAGATAAAGAAATACCTTTACACCTCCTCCATAATCGCGTAGACAACATTTAACCTTTTCAAATGTTATTTAGCCACACAGGCTTAGGCTTATCACAAAAAAAACAAGCTTCGTGTAAACAACAGGACTCAAGCGAGTGCATTTTTGGCATAGTTGTGGAGAGAGATGTGACTCAAAAGAGGCCAGCCAGACTGGACCGTCTGGGTTTGGGGAAATAAAACGGCATTTCTGTTTAAAAATGGAAAATTGTCGTCTTGTTGAATGTTTCCTGACAAAGATCTGATTGTGCTTTGGGCACTGAAGCCAGTGGCTTGATTTATGTTTTAGAAAAAAAAAATGTAGCTGCACCATGACAAGAAAATAAATGTAAGAATGCAGTTTCTCTCACAATGTTGCGTCAATACCCAATGACTCATTTATGGTTCGTTTATTCTTGTCAGAAGTCACAGGTGAGATGAACACATTTTTTATTTGTGTTTTGTTTTTTATCCAGTTATCCAGATTTGCGTGTCACTTGCACACACACAAACACACACACAGTTCTTGTGTCAAAGTGAAATATCAATTCCCTCATCTCAGAAACAGAAACAAACCTAATGAACCGAACACGACAGCATCACACCCCAGGACTGTTCCTTCTGCGCACAAACATGGACCCACTGAACCGATGAAGCCCATTTGGTCAGAAACAAATTACAGATCATTGTAACGTTTGGCTTGTGACGCTTAAATGTTTCAAATCAAACTAAATTTGCCATCAGACAAAGACAATTAACTCGATGTAGTTACGAAAAGAAAATAGTGACTTCAACAAGGGAAGAAGGCCTCCAAAACAACCTGGCAAATTTGCAACCTTTGTTAAATCATAGCATTCTTTCCGTTTTTTGACCCCCTCCTGGGCCTCATTACCGGACGAGCTTGCCGGCCAAAGCGATCACTTAAAATGAATAGTTTTGAAAAGCAACACATCAAAAGAAATTCGAGAACAAATAGGAAACAAAGTCATTGCCGACTTTGCAAAGGGTTATAAAGCCTTTTCTGAGGTTTTGAGACTCCAGTGAACCACAGCGAGAGCCGTTATCTACAGGAGGAGAAGAACTGGAAACAAAATGAACCTTGCTAAGAGTCCTGAAGCGTTACTGCAGGAGCACAAGCAAGCCAAGGCCTCATGGTTACAGCTAGGATTCATGATTCAAGAAATTACAGACGAAATGGTGACTGTTGTTCTGAGAAAACAACTATTTATCAAAAACAGTTTCAGAATCGATCCAAAATCCTGATGATCTCCAAGTCTTTGGGTAAACAGTTAAGTTGACTGTGAAGACCATAGTTGGTTTTGGATGTGTGAGTCCTTTGCAAATGATGTTTAATTGACACATCAACAGAGAAATTACATTAAAACATGACGGTGAGGGACTGCTTTACCACTCCAGGATCTATACAAGTCACCACAATTGATGGAAACATCAATATTCTTGTTGGAAATTGTTTCACAATCCTAAATGTGTTTTGTGAAGCACTTTGTGGTTCCTGACCTGGAAAAGTTGCCATATAAATGTAGTCTACGTACTTAAGTGTGCCCACTTTCAAATGGCTCAAAAAAACAAAATTAATCAACGTTATTAGACAATAAGGCCAATGTGGTTAGATACTTTAAGCTCCTTTAATTACATGAAATTCGTAAACTCCTTTTTATGTTTATTAAAATTTTCCTTATCTGGTGTTATTCTGTTTTTGATTATCTCAAATGTTTAAGTCATACAGAAAAAAAAACCCCAAAAACAATGAATCTGTAAAAGGCAAATACTTTTTGAAACAAATTGATAAACCGACAAATCAGCTGATATATGGATCAATCTACATGGATCCATCTAATGCCAAAAAAGTATTGCAAATCCCATTGAGGCCTGAACACTAAGTATCTAAATGCATAACTAATGTTAAAATCAGATCAAAGGTCAAGATCAAAATAGCTTTTATAAAATGGTAGGTTTGAACAACATAACTTTTTTATTTCTCAACAAATCACACACTTACCCCTCTGCACCTGGCAGATTTCTCGTAAATAACTTGGCATGAGTAGAAATGGTTTCGCTTAAAATAATTCTGGTTGTTTTCTTTTTTTCTTCCTTTTGAGGGGTAAATCATAACCCTTGAAACTATCTGCAGCCCGTGTTCGACCAGCGCTTTCGTTGACATTCAGAAACACGTCACAGCGAACCCGCCGTTCTGCAGAATGACACATCAAGAGCATTAGTTAAAGTGAAAACAATGAGAAGCTCGTCATCTGCAGCATCAGCAGCATGCATCTTTGGTCGCCATGCAATCTGTTCCTGTTTGCAATTCTGGAAGCAATCAGCATGTAACTGGGAGATGAACTCCTACTCTGTCCAGCTGTGGAAATTATGGGAACTTATTAAACGTGAGGCCTCCTCTGCAGTTCCCACACTTGTCATAACACACTTGAACATCCATCCATCCATTTTCCAACACCCGGTCCCTAACGGGGTCGGGAGGGGTGCTGGTGCCCAAAGTTTCAGGCAAGAGTCGGGGCACCAAACAGTCACGTTTTTGGACTGTGGGAGGAAGCCGGAGTCCCCGGAGAGAACCCACGCATGCACAGGGAGAACATGCAAAGTCCACGCAGAGAAACCCCGGGCCGGGAATCGAACCCAGGATCTTCTTGTTACCAACTGCGCCACTGTGCAGCCCCCACACATGAACACCCGGGCGCCAATAGTTGCCCATGTGGAGTCATAACCACGATGTTTAAAATCGAGAGCACATCTTGATGGTGAGGTTCATTCTGCTCCTCAACAAATGAATGGTCTACTTCCTGCTAATGAATAATAATGACACTGATGCAGTACAGTGAACGCAAACATGACAAGTATTAAGTATTTTTGATCGAAGATAACTTTTTGAAGCCGACATAAAGACATCTCCCAGCAAACGAGTTCGACACACAGTTAAAATTCAATCAGATTGATCATCTGATTGAATCGGATTCGTCAAGTATTTTCCTGAGGATCATAACTACTTTATAAGACGACATAAAGTGTGCGACTTTATATCACCTCGTAAAGCAAGTATAAGATAATAGGTCTGACAGATAAAGATGAATAGCTGAATAAGATACAAAATATCAAACTGCATGTCGTCATAATTTTCAATACTGTGGCCACCTTTCGCAAAGACACAGACCTGTCTAATAAAAATTTTAGAAATGTGAAGAAAAAGAACTTTAAAAAGAATTTAATGTTAATTAGGACAACTATTGGGCAACTTAGCTCTGTGTGAGGAGAAAAATTGAGTGTTACTTTCCTTTTTAGCAAAACGGCAAATACTATGACACTTACTAGTCCACTTAATTCAGTATTTTTTGCAGCGTAGAAAAGGTTCTGCATCTCAAAATGTTTCTCTAGTGTAAACATTGTCCAGGCCCATATGTAAAACTCATTTGTACATTGCAATTGACGAGCTCATAATCGCCGTTCAGCCTCTGTGTCTTTCTTGAATTTTGCATCGTATTTTCTTTGATGATAAATATGAGTAAGCAGGATGTGTGAGCACGGGTCCGGATGGGTCTGGCATTTTTTCAACGTCACTGCTGCCAGGTCATCAATGTTTTAGTCATTTTTTAAAGTCTTGTCAGACATCAGAGGGTTTGTAATCAAGATGCTTGTTGTGATATTACAGCACAGCCAGCATGTGGGGGTTATTAGTATCTTCTGCTGTGTCATAATACAGATCCAAAATGCAGGGAGGAGGCAGGAAGCGGGCGGATTCAAGTCAGCTGGTGACTCACAAATAAGGAAACGCTCAAGCGAAAGTCAAAAGGTCCAAAACATTCAGCCGGAGGGAAACACAGGGATACAAGCTGCAAGCACAACAGGAGTTTCTGAGCTGTTCTGATAGAGACGTTTATGCAGCAGAGATCGTTGCTGAACAAGGAGCAGGAAGCGGATTAGAAACCTGGTGCAGCTGTGAGAGGAGGCAAGTAACTGATGTTGAGCTGAGGAAATGGGAGAAGCGGCTGCTAGAGCACGACATGGAAAACATGGAGACAATCTAAATACACACAGAGATTCAACCCAAAACCCAAACACCTCAGAATTGTGACAGCACATCAGTCTGATATGTAGAAATCTGAATTTTAGTCGCGTTCTGTGTGAACATAATCATAGAATAAAGGGTGGTTACATACAGATTCATGCCTTTTCCTTTTTTAATTGGTAAAAATAAACGCCAAAAATTGTGCATACCTGTTTTTCTACTTCAGTGCATTGCATTACATCGATCTTATCTCATAAAATGACAAAAGAATACACTGAAATTTTAGCTGTAACCTGGCAATATATGAAACATAAAAATTAAAAAAAACTCTTACAACGGCTTACTGATGTGTTTGTGAACTTTAGATTCTGATACCTGGGCGGATTTTCTCCAGGGACGCATTACATTCAGTCAAACTATTGTGACGTTTTGATCTCAATAATGGTAAATGAAATAAAATAAAACATGACACACTAGCAATCCCCACATATAAATATGCAAAAAATAAATAAATAAAATAGGATCCAATTGAAACCGAAACCTTATCCGCTTTAATCAGTAAGCCATCATAGATAATAACAAATTTAACAGAGATAAGACAGGTCTAGATTAAAAACCTTAAAAGGAGGTTCTGGGTGGCTCAGTTGGTAGAGTTTGTGCAACATGTGCTGAGGCGCAGGACCACAACATGGCTGTCCTGGGTTCAATTCCCGTGCTCAGGCTGCATGTCTCCTCAGGCTGCATTTCTCTCCTTACTAATTTCTGGCTTTGAGTTATTCAGCAAAGGCCACAAGAACCTAAAGAAAAGTCTTGAAAAAAAAGACTGAAACTTAAATAAAATGATTAGTAGCAGCATTCTAATAAACTTCAGTGCTCTAAAATCGAGGAGCAAACCCATTTTCCAAAACACAAAGATATCAGGACAACCAGAACCTCTGGGGCAAATTTCCTTCAGGAAAAAAAAAAAAAAAAAATCCTAGAGCCACCTTTGGGTTTATCGCAGCTCATTTATCTCTCTGACATGGAGCCACGCTCTACTGGTGCAACAAACAGAAAGTAAGACTTTGACGAATGCTGGCTCAGCAGAGCGCTCGTCGTGGGAGGATTGTGGGAGATTGAGTTTGCAGATGAGTCAGGGAGACACATTATACTCGATATCAGTATGAATGGCCTGCCTGTCTATCTTTAGGTTTCGTGTGGGAATCGGACCAACATCTGCTCGCTCGTTGCCTAGGAAGACCTCTCTGTACTATGAAAAACATCTGACACAATGTGTTTGTTTTTCAGATTTGGCTGAGATCTTAACTGGCTGGTTTTTGAAAATAAAAAATACAGCGTTACTGCATCTAATGTAGAGATTGTGTAAGTGGCCGTGTTACACTGAACATTTCCAGATTCTACAGGGGTTTTCTCAAAGTCCAGATTATTTGGAAAGTTCGGCATTTCAATCAGACTGTTCTAACTAATAGCTCAGCTGTTCATAATCGATTTGAGCGCCCTGTGACACAAAGATCACAGGTTCTTAAAAAGATCAAGATACAACTCTTCTTTGAAACAGCCAAATTATTTTTCCAGCTAACTGGTTATCACCTGCTTGTATCAGCAGGCAGACAGCATGTTCACTTCTTGTAGTCTTCTTCTTTTTAATATTTCTGACAGATTACCTTTTATCTGTCTTTTGGCAGCAGTTCGGTGAGCCTGCTTTGCAGATCTTATCGCGTGAAGAAGACTCTTTGAGGCAGCGTCTTCAAGTTGTTGGCAGCAAACAAACAAACGAACAAAAAAAAAAAAACAAGTTTGCGTTTCTGCATTTCATTTGCCTTAAATCTGGACGAATTTCAAATATACCAGCCGCGACGCCTTGTGAGAGTTTAACTCTGACACCGAGCAGCTGCAGGGTTAGTAATTTGGCAGCTGCACGTGTTGATGAACGATAACATGCAGTTAGTCAAACCTCAATGAGATGACTGTGCTCAGAGCTTACGGCGTCCCTCTGCCGAACTCTCGTCATGGTCAAAAGGTAACCTAAGCCTTCCAGCGGTATTCACAACGTTTCGTGTTGGGCCCCGGCCCAGAAACCTGTCATGCACTCCACCTTTTGCCCCTGCTCTCTTAATCCCACCCTTCATCTTGCCAGTCACACAAACAAAGGCGAAGGCGACTTTTGATTCCTGTCTCATAAAGACCGGCTCCAAAAATATCAGCCGATGACGGACGACGGCACATCTGTTCTCCGAGTGTCAGAGGGAGATCAGTAATACAGACCTGGAAACGCAAGTCAGCAGTTCCTCTTTTCATTGTCCTCCTTCCAGTTCTTGCTGTTATGATGCTCGGCGAAACGCATGAGATCCTTTACTGTAAAGAGAGGAAGAGAGAGAAACAGACAGGTTTAGAAACAAAATGCTATGGAAAGAAAATGCTTCACAATGAAGGATTGTAAACATTTTGGGTGGCGGCTCTTAAGAAATCTGACCCTCTGAAATAAAACAAAGGAGCACCAACAGCAAGATGACATGATCAGGTGAGTCCCTGCATCATAGGACACATAAATATATCCTTTGAATGATTGTAAAATCTAGTTCAACTTGTTTAAGACACGTCCCACAAACGACAGAAAAGTTGATTGGGGTTGATTTGATTTGTTTTTGGCAAGTCGTGTAGATTTACCTTGAATTTCTACATGAAAGAAGAAACAAAACCATAAAAGCACACAGTGAAACAAACACAATGTGGTGCAGTGACAGTTTAGGGTGTAAAATACTAGTGAAACATATTCATATATTATTAACCCACGTCTTGAACACACTTTTTTTTTTATCATTGTGATGAACCAACACTATTCAGGGTGTTAGCATCTCAGCTCAGGAATCGGCATCAAGGGCAATGAAGTTTGTGTGTCGTTGGTGAGCACAGTTTGAATCCATAGCAACTCAAATAGACCAAAATGATGCACATAAGCATCAGTCATTTTGTGACTGTAACATTGCATGCTTTGAATATGTAGGATGACTCGCAACCCAACATTGTGCAGCTCTGACAACGACTGGAAAAGAAACATTTAAATAAACCTGCATGTCAGACAACAACTATACAGACAGAAGAAGAAAATAAATTGAAAGTTAGAGTCATTTTTACAAGTAATTGCATTCATTTAGCATTGACGCTGCCTCACATCTTCTGATGTTAGCTGCCAATCAGCTCTGAGTTGGAAACATTATGACTGTTAATCTGATGTCATCCGATAAGATTCTCTTTAATTAATCAAATAAAATTTTATTTTATGTCCACAGCTCGGGTTCCTTCAGTCTTTTTCGTGTCAAAATCTTGTTCATTTTACTTGCTCTGTCAGAAGAACCTGATTTGATTGGCAGCCAAACAGAAAGATGAACATGGAAAGCAACATTTTCCTGAATTTCCCCTCTGAGAGTGAAGGCTATTTCCATCTTCTACCTCTATGCTCAACTTTAACACATTTTAAAACAGTGATGATGAACTTATATGGTTGGGACATAGAATTATCTGGTTCTTAAAATAAATGAATAAATAATAATAATAATAATAATAATAATAATAATAATAATAATAATAATAATAATAATAATAATAATAATAAACTATCTCTCTTTTTGGGCGAGTTCCAACCGGATGCAAAAATGGATGGAAACAACTCTTTTTTTTCTTTTTGGTTGAACATCAAACGTTGAAGTATGTAACGTTTTCTATTAGAAACCATTTTTCATGTTAACATGCCCTTCTTATCATTCCATCTCCCCACCAGAGTCTTTCCGTACTGAGATCAACCCTCATCTACCTCAGAATTTGCTGCTTTTGCGTTGACACAAGTGGAAAAAAATTGCCTGGTGTTGTTGAGCAAAGGAAACACTTTCCAGCAGAACAATTCTGAGATTTTACAAGTGGGAATAGACACCCACGCATCCGCTTACTGAATTAGTTTGTTTTTTTTTAGTTCATGTCACAAGGAGTGTGTCTACGTGTCTGAGCACATCTAGAGGGACAGCAGATGCACCTGCATTACAGCAACTAGAGAAAGACTGTGAACAACTTCACCAGAGCAGACTAAATTACATTTAGCTACTTCTGTCAGTTAAAACAAGGCTTATGAAGTTACTTTTGTGATTCATTTTACAACCTGAAACGAGTCAAACTACTTTGTGCAAAAGATTCGAAAATAGGTTAAATAAATAATGACGATGGGAAGTCGTTTCACTGAGAGGAACTGTGTCCCGATCACGTCTCTGACGGGGGCAGATTCCAACACTATTTTTACTTCCACAATAAGGGGGGGACAAGGGGTCTTGTCTTTCGCCGTCCTTCTTCCTCCCTCCCTGCAGATGCATCGCCTGCTCTGTTCCTGGGAGATCCCAGACACAGAGGCATCATGACTCAGCCGGGAGAGGATCTGACTCACCTCCTGTGGAGTCTCGGCACTTAATTCCCATGAAGGTGTTGCACAGAGATGCTATTGTGCGTCCGCATTAGGCCAGACGGGCTGACGGACTGACGGGGCGGGAGGGGGGGAACGAGGGCGCAGCGAGACGCTCTTCCTGTGGGAACACTGGGTCATTTGTCTCTGAGAAAGTTTACAGTATTGGTCCTAATTCTGGCATCGTTTAAGAGCTCGTGCAGGAACGGAGACTGTATATTGATATGTTTGTGTGTGTGTGTCCTTGTGTGTGTGTGGTCTGTGATGAATAATGTCTGGGGCAGACCACATGATCATGTGTTTCATACGCAGATGGCCTCTCACTGATTCTCCCATGGAGTCTAAAGTGACCTTTGGGAACTGCCTTGTCAGACATCAGACATGCAAGCTGAACTAAACTTAACTGGCTGTGCTTTGATGATTTAATCATGTATTATGTCGTAGAAAAGGTGAATCAAGAAAGCTAGTGAAACTACAGTCACAATGGACAAACATGTGAGATACTCATGGCGAGCCTCACAGTGAACTTAAAACAAAACATTTTTAACAAAATCTACCTGAGAGAAGCAGAAGTTATTACTTCTGTTGAAAGTATATACCGAGCAAAAATATTGAAAACCTGTTGAATTCAGGCGCAGTCGTCAAGACTTTCTTGTAAGAAGGACAAAAGTGACTTAATCTTTCAGCCAGCTGACAGATTAGGCCAGAAGCGTTTGGAGCATCTCATTATAAAAGATTTTAAACGGCTCACTGGAAACCTGCATTTTGATACACCTGACCATGGAGCATCAGTTTAAATGAGTTGTTTAGGTACCAGGTTCATCTAACAGAATGTTTTCCTTTGTTTGTATAAGGACCCCCAAATCGCTCTAGCTCTGTCGCTGTCTTTCAACCCCACATTATCACTAAAGATAAAATGGTCAAAAATATTAGAGGAAAGATGCAAAAAGTCGGTCAGAATTGGAGAAAAAAACATAACTGCTGTCATGACTCGAAAGGCTTCGTTAATAATTATTTTAAATTCAGTTTAAAGATAAACAGATATACCCAATTCTCTTTATTTTTCAAAACTAAATTTCTGTCTCCTCAAATCAAAAACTACCTTGTTTGTTCAATTTAAAACATTTGAAAGCTAAATTTGTCAGGAATAAGATTATGCTCAACTGTAACGACATTAATAGATCTGTGCATTTTGACGCTTTGATCAAATCCAAAAAGAGATACTATGTTTAGTCATAAAAATTGACTGAAAAGAAAAAGACAAACACAGTAATTTTGTCTCACAACATAAAACAAGAGCTGCTAATGAAAGCCTCACTGAGAGGCTATTTCAGGGCCCTGGGGTCAACGCAACAGGAGGGAGACCTCCAAGTTCCACTGAGAGACTGAAAACTATTAAAAGCTGAACTTTCCAGGTCGCCCGTGTCTGGCTGACTTTCACATTTGTCTCGACAATAAAACTTTCACTCAGACACCACCTAACAGTCACCATCCAGTCAGACCAAGAGACACAGCGAGCGCAAACTGCCGCAGCGTGGGAGGCAAAAGTGGAAAGCGCAGAAAGCAGAATCTGTCTCTGATGTGGACCGCTTCAAATGGAATTCATCTAAAATCAGTCATCTGGAAAGACAGCTGAACAGAAGAGCTTGTCCTTTGTGTCTAGCGAATGACTGCTTTAGGTAATTCAAGAAATACCTGAATTATTGCGGTGTCCTAATTCACAACAACCCTCTAGATTCAAGTTTGAACTCATAGCTGACTAGTGATCTTACTGACTGCCTTTGATAAGCGAACAACTGAACGTGACCTAATGAGGCACGTCATGTAGTGCAGCTTTTAGAGAGAACGTGATAATCTGCTGGGGCTTCTGTTGTGTTTCTGCATTTGTTTTCTCAGCCGAAGCGGTGCTTGCAGACTTGCAGAGGCACGGTGTCTCTCTCCAGGAATCAGAGGGGCAGACCCATCGCTGAAACACATGATGCAAACAACCGGCACAGCAAACAGCCACACCGAATCAAAGTTTTACGCTTCTGCTGAACCTGACCTACATACTTTAGGGCTTTAAAGGGAAACTGAAGATCCAACAGAAATCCCATGCACACAAGACCTTCAGCCTTCTTACTTTTTTTTTTTCTAGCAGTTTATGTGATCAACTAACACAACGCTGCTCATAGTGAGGGGAAAATAAAGAAAACGGGACATGGATTTCAAAAATCACAAACAAAAGCAGAATATAAAGTGATTTGTATGCAGGCCTCTGGAGAATTACAGCTGCAAGTCTGACTAAACTCCCCTTTCCAAATGTTTAGTCACTGCTTTCCTTCTTAAAGCTGCAGACCTCCCAGAGATCCAACAAGCCTCTCTGCCGCTTCTGATAAATGAAGGTGGATGGTCATGCCTTGGCCGGTTTTGTGTTTCATGAGTGCAATGCCCACTGGAAAGAGACGCAGTCGATGTGCAACGGAGCAGAGACTAAAATGGCATTCTGACTTATTCACTTTTATGTATTGCTGAGTCAGCAGATCTAATACCTGCAGTTAGGAATGAAACTAAATTTAAAATTTTGATTTTACAGGTAAAATATCAACTGCTCACAATAGCTCATAAAAACAATTTTATGACAGAAATTCAACTGGAATTCTCCTTTATTTGTCTCATTATCTTATAAATATGTCCAATCAAATTAAAAGCATACTTTAGTGGACTTTAAGGGTCTGATCACTGCAAGAATATAAACGCAGTGCAAGTTTTAGCTAAAGAAGCTACAGAAGGATAAATTTGCAGGTTAGTTATTGTAGCTTATGTGTTTATTTTTGCTTATGACCTGGGTATTTTATATGCAAACACAGAGGAGATGGGTAAATTTGGATGGGTGTGGGCGGTCGTATGTATTTTTGCCAGTCAGTCAGTG